CCAGCGCCAGTACAGGATCTTCTGCACGCGGCCCTTGAGCACGGGGCACTGCGGGGACACGCGTCACCACCGCGTCCCCCGGCCCCTTCGTCCCTGTCCCCATCTTTATCCCCGGCCCCCTTCGTCCCCATCCCCCTTTGTCCCTGTCCCCATCTTCATCCCCATCCCCCTTTGTCCCCATCTCCCTTTGTCCCTGTTTCCCTTCGTCCTCATCTCCCTTCGTCCCTGTCCCTATTTTTATCCCCGTCCCCTTTTGTCCCCGTCCCCCTTCATCCCTGTCCCCATCTTTAACCCCTTCCCCCTTTGTCCCTGTCCTCTTTCGTCCCCGGCCCCATCTTTATCCCCATTCCCCTTTGTCCCCAGCCCCCTTCGTCCCCGTCCTTCTTCATTCCTGTCCCCATCTTCATCCCCGTCCCCCTTTGTCCTCATCCCCCTTTATCCTTGTTCTCACTAGTCCCTATCCCTTTCTCCCTGTTTTCATTTATTTGCCCCTTTTTATTCCCATCCCCCTTTGTCCCCATCCCCATTTGTCCCTGTCCCAATTTCTCCCTGTCCCCATCTTTATCCCTGTCCCCCTTTATCCTCACTCCACTTTGTCCCTGCCCCGATTTCTCCCCGTCCCCCTTTGTCCTCATCTCCCTTCATCCCTACCCCCATTTCTCCTTGTCCCCATCTCTCTTCATACGCCTTTGTCCCTGTCCCTTTTCGTCTCTGTCCCCATCTCCTGTCCCGTCCTCCCCTCTCCTGTCCCTCCGTCCCAATTCTCCCCCTGTCCCTATATCCCTGCGTCACTCCCACCCCTGTCACCACCAGGACTGCACCTTGTCCCTTGTCCCTGTCCCATCCCTGTCCTTGTCCCCCATGGGCAGCGGGGACAGAGCCACTCGCCCATGGGGACATCAGAGAGTGGCTGGGGTTGGAGGAGCTACAGACACCTGCCCCCACCATGTCCCCCTGCTGTCCCCCTGTCCCCGGGGGGTCCCCGTGGCATCGGAGAGCGGTCGTGGTTGGAAGAGCTACAGGCGCCCGCCCGCACCATGTCCCCGTGTCCCCACACCGTGTCCCCACGCGGTCCCCCCCCGGGGCAGCGGGGACAGAGCCACTCGCCGTTGGGGACCTCGGGCAGCGGCGGGTTGAGGCAGTGGATGTGGTAGGAGGAGATACAGGCGTCGCAGCACAACAGCTCGCCGCCGTCCTTGCACACCCGGCAGTACTCCATGTGGTCGTCCTCCTCCTCCTTGTCGCCCTCCTCCTCCAGCTCTTCCTCGTACTCCTCCTCCTCCTCCTTGGCCTCCCACTGCACCCCCTCCTTCTCCTGGGGACGGGGACAGGCGTCAGCGCGGCCCGGGGACCCCCAGCAACAGCCGCGGGGCCCGCGGGCACCCCCGCGCCCGCTGCCGGGGGACGGGGAAAAACCCCCCGCGGGGCCCGAGGGCCCCTCGGAGCCTGCTGCTGTGGTTCCCCCCATGTCCCCGTGTCCCCCCTGTGTGCCCCCCGTCCCCTCGTGTCCTCACGCAGTGGGGGCAGCTCCAGCGGCCGTGGGGCGCGCGCTCCAGCTCGGGCTCCAGGCACACCGGGTGGTAGGACACGTGTCACCCTCCGTGTCCCCCGTGTCCCCCCGTGTCCCCCCCATGTCCCCCCGTGTCCTCACGCAGTGGGGGCAGCTCCAGCGGCCGTGGGGCGCGCGCTCCAGCTCGGGCTCCAGGCACACCAGGTGGTAGGCGCGGGGACACGTGTCACACAGCACGATCTCGCCACCCTGCTGGCACACCTCGCAGTAGTCCTGGTGGTCGGTCTCGTAGCCGTCGCCGTCGGCCTCGGCGCCTGCGTTGGGGCACCCCGAGAACAGGGGGGACCCGTGTTGGGACACCCCGAAACAAAGGGGGGGACCCACATTGGGATACCCCAAAAACAGGTGGATGGGGGAGACCCATGTTGGGACACCCTGAGACAAAGGGACAGGGGGACCCGCGTTGGGACACCCCAAAAACCAGGGGACAGGGGGAGACCCACGTTGGGACACCCCGAAACAAAAGGAAGGGGGAGACCCATGGGACACCCAGAAACAAAAGGAAGGGGGAGACCCATGTTGGGACACCCCAAAAACGGGGGGGGGCACGTTAGGGCACCCCAAAAACAGGGGGATGGGGGGGACCCCCATTGGGACACCCCAAGAACAGGATGATGGGGGGACCCACGTTGGGACACACCAAAACAAAGGGATGGGGGGGACCCACGCTGGGACACCCCAAAAACAGGGGGATGGAGAGGACCGAGGACGGGGCCTGAAGGGAGCTGATGTGGGACGGGGGACCCCCCAGGATCCCCCGGGACCCCCAGGGAAGGAGCCATGGGGGCCAGAGATCCCCCATGTCCCCCGCAGCGCCCCCGGGGGGGTGACAGGGTGACACAGGGCAGGGTGACAGGGTGACGCAAGGGGGTGACAGGGTGACGGGTTGGGGATTGACGGGGTGACAAGGTGACAAAGGGGGGTGACAGGGTGACATGGGGCTGACAAGGCGTCATGGGAGGAGAGGGTGACACAGGGGGACAGTGGGGATGACATGGGGATGACAGGGTGACACGGGGTGACACATCGGAGGGTGCCAGGGTGACATGGGGGGATGACAGGGTGACAGAGGGAGGTGACACAGGGTGACAGGGTGTCGCAGGGGTGATGGGGTGACACAAAGGAGTGACACAGGGTGAGTGACAGGGTGACACAGGGGTGAC